TAAAATTAATAAAATTCAATGCTTGAAAGTTATAAATTGAGACGAGAAGTGGAGAATATTTTCGCGAAAAATTGAAAACTGCGAATATAATGGGCAAAATTTTTATCTCGCAATTACATTGTTTTTCTTGGTTGAATGTAAAAATTTCTCAGCCGTGAACGGAAAATTGGAATGTGGGTCAGTTGCTATCAATCTTCGATGCTCATATAAAGTCCATGGGTCATTGTACAAATGCACTGTTATGTGTGTATCACTGATCTTCCCTTATCACTCACGAAACACGTATGAAATTATAATAAATTCATTTTACTTCGAAAGAAAATTTTATTTTCCTCAATATTATCGATTTATAAATAATTGAAATAGAAATCAAAGAAATTTAAATAAAAAATTAATTTCATTAAGTGTTTAAATTTTAAATATTCAAGTTTATTGAATTTAAAGAACCCTTATTCCTTTAAATTGAATAATTAAAAAATAATTTAAATTATTAAAAAATATAATAATTAAAAAATAATTTAAATTATTAAAAAATATAATAATTAAAAAATAATTTAAATTATTAAAAAATATAAAAATTAAAAAATAATTAAAATAATTAAAAAAATATAATAATTAAAAAAAAATTGACTAATTAAAATTGTTAATCCTGAAATTCCTTCACAAATAATAATAGAAATAATAATTATAATAAAGTATTCAAAATTAAAATAAAAAAAACAAATAGCGAGTCGAACGAAAAAATAAAATAATAAATAAAAAAATATTTATAAACAATAGAAATAGAAATAAAAGAAAAAAACAAATAGAGAGTCGAACAAAAAAATAAAATAATAAACAAAAATAAAAAATACAGACAAGAAATGAAGAAAATAGGAACAAACAAACAAAAAAAATATCAAAGAATACGAAAGAACAAATACAGAGCAAAAAAAAATACGAATAAAGAATATAAATAAAAAAATACAAATAAATAAGTACAAATAAACAAAACTAAAGGTAAAATGATCAAAGAAAAACTGAACTGAGGGAAAAGTATGGAGTGAAAGAAAATTTAAAGAAAAACTTCTCCCCGCGAAGAAATTAAATATCTAAAATTCCATTAAATCTTTTTTCTCTCCTTTCTTTTGTTTTTAATTCTCGGAGAATACGCAAAGTAAATGTTCATTTGGGTGTGAGTGAAATTTTTCTAAGGGCGATCCCCAATCAAACTTGCCGAGATTAGCAACTGACCATTTCAAGAGTAATAGCTTCCAAGTGACTAAATTCATCCCTTAATGAAATTCTTTCTCAGATTCGAAATGATGCCCTTCATCGACTCTTTTTTCTCTCTTTCTCATTCTACTAAATATTTTCCTCTATTATAAAACGAAAAGAATAAAAAAAAAAAATAAAAAATAAAAATTCTTATCCAACGATAAGATCAATTGATAAATGCGTCCTTTACGCAGTAGTGGCACCGATCACTTCCGTTTCATGTTTTGTTGGAGGAATTATCAGTTTCCCTGACATTAACCCAAGAAAACGTAATCTACTCGCGGAGATCTGTACCGCACAATTTACAGCCAGAAGGCTCTTTTACCATTTACGGTAATTCCGATTAAGAGTACAATGAAAAAAGATATGGTTAAATGTACTGTGTTTTATGGTCAGACCTGAGAACCACGCACTAATGCTTTAATGACACTAGTTAAACTCTATATATATATATATTTAATTTATATATTTTTTAAATTTAAATCACATAGTCTTTAAATGCTGCTTCTCACATTAATTGTGTAAATTTAAAAAACAGAGAAATACCGTCTGTTTGGCGATAAAATTTTTATTTTAATACACGGTTCATTGTGTGTTGTTTTTTAATTCTAAAATCTATAATCATTTTTCTAGTCGACTGGGAATTTATTTTATTTCCCTAGACTCAAAGTGGTATTTTATACCCTAGGATCAAAATAATTCGTTTTACTCCCTAAGTTTGTCAATTTCATGATTTTGACTTTTTTTTCTTTTATCTAAATCGAAATTCGTGAAAATTGAGTCGATAATTTTTTATACAAAGTTTTCTTAAAATTATCAAATTGATACTAAAGTATTCAAAAAGTAAAGTATTCAACAGAGTTGCCACGAAAATTTATAATTTTGTTATTCCCTGATTTCCAGATAAAATTTTACTTTTATCCTGAAGCTAAAGAATATTCTCATTCACTGTAAAAATTATTAGATTCTTAAAAAAAGGTTCCGTTACATTTATTTACGAATTTCTGAAATTGTAAAATTATTCGAAAACATCAATAACTTCTTTTTATTAATAATATTTTTTATTATTCCATAGAAATTAAGATTTTTAAAAATTTCAAATTTAAACCTTTTGGAGTTTAATAACTTTCAATAAGTAAAGATGACCGAGTAATAAAGTCATTATTTTATAGGAGTTATAAAAATATTGTAACTGTACCTTCTTGTTCTTCTTGAAATCAATTATTTCAAATAATTTTTGAAAAAGTTTTTTGAAAATTTCCAAATCTATTTGTTTACAATTCAATTTTACAAAATTTCGTCAATTACAGTTTTACAAAAAAATTAATTCTCTAGAACTGTTAATTAAAAATATGAAAAATACAATTTTCCAAAGATTTTAAATTTTCATAATTCAATTATTTCTAAAAAATCACACTTTAATGCTTTTAATATTCAATTATTAATTTATTGTCTAAAAATCTTAACTGAAATTCATTTTTAAATCAATTTTCATTAAGAAATTCTACTAGAGTTGAATAATTTAAAATTTAAATACAAAAATAAATAATTTATTAAATAAATGAATTATATTTTTCGAGGAATTCGATTAAAATTGTTTTAAAAATAATTAAAAATCTGCCATGAGTTTTATTATTTATGAAAATAATTCAATTTCTAAAAACAATTTCATTATTTTTGGAAAATTTTTTTTAAATAATATATTTTTTGAATGTTTTCAAAATAATTGAAATTTTGCCTAAAAATTATTGAATTTTGAAGAAGAATTTTGCTATTTATAAAGATAATTGAAATCTTGACGAGGATTTAAAAAATTTTATTAAAAATAATTGAATTTCTGGAAAGAATTATATTACTTTTGAAAATAATTGAATTTCTATGATGAATATTGTCATTTATGAAAATAATTGAATTTCTGCGGAGAATTTTATTAAAATTTTTGAAAATAATTGAATTTTTGAGATGAATTTTGCTATTTAAAAAAATAATTGAAATCCTGACGAGAATTTAAAAAAATTTTTTATTAAATAATTGAATTTCTGCAAAGAATTTTATTTCTTTTGAAATTAATTGAATTTCTATGATGAATATTGTAATTTATGAAAAAAATTGAATTTTTTTAAAGAATTTTATTAAAATTCCAGAAAATAATTTAATTTCTATAAAGAATTTTGCTATTTATAAATATAATTGAAATCCTGAGAAGAAAAAAAAAACTTTTATAATAATTGAATTTTTGAGAAGAATTTTATTAAAAATTTTGAAAATAATTGAATTTTTGAAAAGTATTTTATAAAAATTTTTGAAAATAATTGGATTTTTTAGAATTTTGCTATTTATAAAGATAATTGAAATTTTGGCGATAATTAAAAAAATTTAATAAAAATAATCGAATTTTTTCGAATAATTTTATTACTTTTGAAAATAATTGAATTTCTGTGATGAATATTGTCATTAATGAAAATAATTGAATTTTGTAAAGAATTTGATTAAAATTCCTGAATATAATTGAATTTTTGAGAAGAATTTTTCTATTTAAAAAGATAATTGAAATCTTGACGAAAGTTTAAAAAAAAATTATTAAAATTAATTGAATTTCAGACAAGAATTTTATTAAAATTTTTGAAAATAATTGAAGTTTGGCGAAGAATTTTGCTATTTATAAAAATAATTGAAATTGAAAGTCTTTTATTAGAATTTGTGGTAATTTTTTCCTCCAGTACTTTTAATAAAAATCTCCGACTTTTCCCTGACTTTCCTGTTCTGTGGCAACCAAACAATTTGATTCAAATTGATAGCAAAAATTGAGATCAATTTTTGATTTTAATTAAGATCCAAATTTTTTAAATCAATTCGTTGCAATTTGATACTTTTAAGTCAACAGTGTACAGTCACTAATTTTTAATAAACAATTATCAAACAATTTTGACCAATTTTTAGTTATTTTTTACTGAAACGTTAGTTAATAAATTCAGTATTTAATAAAAATGCGATAAATTTTGTATATTTACTCTTTAAATTTGAACCGAAGAAAACAAATATTTGATATGTATTTACTTTTTTCGTTGCAACCAAAAAATTTTGTTATTTCAAACTAATATTGTTTCGAGTCTATTTTTAAATTGAAAATAAAATAAAAATGTTCTCAATTGTAAGGAAGAAACTTTTTATTTTATTTTCCATTCGAAAATAGACTCGAAACAATATTTGTTTGAATTAACCAAATTTTTGATTGAAACAAAGAAGATTTGGTTATTTCAAACAAATATTGTTCTGCATCTATTTTTTGATTGAAAATAAAATAAAAATTTTCTCGATTACATGGAAGAGAATTTTTATTTAATTTTCAATTCGAAAATAGACTCGAAACAATATTTGTTTGAATTAATCAATTTTTTGGTTGAAACAAAGAAGTAAAGATCAAATAAAAATAAATAAAAGTTGTCTAAATTCATTTGTTCGGCCATTATTGAGCCAAACAAACGAACTTAGACATCTCTTATTTCTGATAATTATCGCTTCGAAAAAAATATTTAATACTTAAAATAAATCCAAAGTAAAATTTGTTATTTTTTATTGTAAACGAAACGAAGTATCCAAAGAAAAATTTGGTATTTTTTATTGTAATAAACGAAACGAAGAGTAATGAATAGTAACGAAGAGAAACAAAGAGAAACAAAGAGAAAAAAGTAAATAAAAACGAGAAGAATTTGGATAAATATAAAAGGCTGATATAGACTCACCTGTATGTAGTCTGGTGTGTTGTTGTACATGACTGAGTTGTTTAAACCTCCGATCGCAGTAACTGCATTTGTAAGGCTTCTCACCAGTATGAACTCTGATGTGTTGAACAAGCTGATGATTGCTCGAGAATGACTTGAGGCATTGTTGACATTGATGGGGTTTGACTTCATTTCCGGTGATCATGCCACCGGGTCCGACGCCAACGCCAAGGCCCGCCAATCCTCCTGGGATACCGACGCCGGGACGTCCCGTTAATCCTCCCGCACCAAGATCTCTCGGGTGCATCATTGTCGCGGTCTGTTTCATGAAGATCTGCGTAAAGAACTGCCGGGGTTAGTTGGTATGCTGAACTTTTTTCGAGTCAGGGGCACTGGCAATTTTCGGACCTTTGAGATTATTGCAATATTTTGCATCGAAAAAAGAAAGAAAAAACATCCTCCCCCCTCTTTTGTTCTGAGAGGGGAGGCAAAGGTCCAAACACTGCCAGCAAAAAAAAAAATTCTTCAAAACAATGCATTTTTAATTACAAAAATTAATTTAAGATCTAAAAATAAAGTAGCGATTTTTATTGAAGTATGAACTACTTTGATGAATATTTGAACGATCCTCGATTTTTATTTTTTGAATTTGAATAGTAAATTTTTGTTTAGCGGAATAAGAGTTAATGATAAAGTAAAAAAAAATGTTTCTACTAAACATTTTTTGGTGGCTTTTTGACAAAGGAAAAAAAATGTTTGAAGTAAAAATTTTTTAGATGGTTTTTTGATAAAGGAAAAAAAATATTCATAGCAAACAGTTTTTGGTTGTTTTTTTAATACAGAAAAAAAAATATTTGTAGTAAAAATTTTGTAGGTGGTTTTTTTAGTAAAGGAAAAAAATATTTGTAGTAAAAATTCTTTGGGTAGTTTTTTGGTAAAGGAAAAAAAAATGTTCGTAGCAAACAGTTTTTGGTGGTTTTTTGATAAAGGAAAAAAAATGTTTGTAGTAAAAATTTCTAGGGTGGTTTTTTGATAGAGGAAAAAAAATATTTGTAGTACAAATTTCTAAGGTGGTTCTTTGGTAAATAAACAAAAATATTTGTAGTAAAAATTCTTTGGGTGGTTTTTTGGCAAAGGAAAAAAAAATTTTGTAGTAAACATTTTTGAGTAGTTTTCTGATAAAAGAAAAATTAAATGTTTGTAGTACAAATTTTTTGGTAAAGGAAAAAATAATATTCATAGCGAACAGTTTTTGGTGGTTTTTTGATAAAGGAAAAAAAAAATTTTGTAGTAAACATTTTTGAGTAGTTTTCTGATAAAAGAAAAATTAAATGTTTGTAGTACAAATTTTTTGGCTGGTTTTTTGGTAAAGGAAAAAAAAATATTCGTAGCCAACAGTTTTTGGTGGTTTTTTGATAAAGGAAAAAAAAATTTTGTAGTAAACATTTTTGAGTAGTTTTCTGATAAAAGAAAAATTAAATGTTTGTAGTACAAATTTTTTGGCTGGTTTTTTGGTAAAGAAAAAAAAATATTCATAGCGAACAGTTTTTGGTGGTTTTTTGATAAAGGAAAAAAAAATTTGTAGTAAACATTTTTGAGTAGTTTTCTGATAAAAGAAAAATTAAATGTTTGTAGTACAAATTTTTTGGGTGGTTTTTTGGTAAAGGAAAAAAAAATATTCGTAGCCAACAGTTTTTGCCGGTTTTTTGATAAAAAAAAAATTTTTTGTAGTAAACATTTTTGAGTGGTTTTCTGATAAAAGAAAAATTAAATGTTTGTAGTAAAAATTTGTTGGGGTTAATTTTTTTTGCTCCTGGTTTTTATTGGAAAAAATGTAATTTTATTAAAAGGTCCTGATCCAGTGAGACAGTGTGATAATGAAACAAAATAACCTTATCAGTGGAGGTTTAATCTTTACACTGTAATGTTGTTTTGCTGATTAACACACTCCTATTGGATAAAATTAGAAACTGAATCAGTCGACAGAAAAGACAAGTAATACTTTTTCGATTAAGAATCGTATGAGCGCATCTTCGTTTCCATGTATGTGTCACTTGCATTTTTTTGTAGTAATAGAAATATTGCATTATTGCCAATGTTATGTAATGAATTTTCATACAGATAGTAATTTTTGTTCAGTAAAATTTATTATAAATTGATAATTTTTGAATAATTGATGATGATTTTTAAGATTTTTTATACTCAACGGGATTTTTATTTAATTGGAGTTTATTGTGGGGGAAATTTTCGAAAAAGAGTATTTTAATTCAGGAGAATTTTAATTTTAAGGAATTTTCTTTCTGGAGAATTTTAATTCAGAAGAATTTTAATTCGAAAAAATTTTCATTCAAAGAATTTTAATTCAAAAAAATTTTCATTCAAAGAATTTTAATTCAAAAGAATTTTTATTCCAGAGAATTTTTATTCCAGAGAATTTTCATTCAAGATAATTTTTAATTCAGGACAATTTTTATTTAAGAGAATTTTCATTCAAAAGAATTTTAATTCAAAGAATTTTTATTCAAAAGAATTTTCATTTAAAAACATTTTCATTTAGAAGAATTTTAATTCAAAAGAATTTTCATTTCAGAGAATTTTCATTCAACAAAATTTTAATTCAAGAGAATTTCCATTTAAGAGAATTTGCATTCCAGAGAATTTTCATTCAAGAGAATTTTCATTCAAGAGAATTTTCATTCAAAAGAATTTTATTTCAATAGAATTTTCATTCAACAAAATTTTAATTCAAGAAAATAAAAATTCCTTTGATTTAAAATTTTTTTGAAAGAAAATTCCTTTGTTTTTAAATTTTCTTGAATAAAACTTCTCGAAAATAAAAATTCACTGGAATAAAAATTTTCAAAAATTAAATTTCATTCGTATTATTTTTTTTTCAGTGAAACACAATTTTTTTAAAAAATATTTTCCACTGTTAAACACAATCACAGGAATTAGGCACGCACAAATTAAAGTTTTTCCGAGTGAAAAAAATAAGAATAACACTTGCAAACACCTACAATTGGTCATTTTCTTTTTTCTTTGCGGCGTTTCTAATCTCTAAACTAAAAGTTCCCTCTCGAATCCGAGGCAGAGGACGAGAGACTGACTTAGTTGATGGATCTTGAAAGAAAAGAAGGGCTCGCTTTCTGTTTCTTCTAAAAAGAACAGGTGTTTGTGGCATGCGCTTGCCTCTAGAGTTTGTACTTTGTAAAAGTATTCTAATGTGGGTGTGTATTTTATCAAAAGGTGTGGGTGAACGAACGAAAGGGTTAACGTTTAAAACGCTACAGTCACTGCGATAAAAGTCTCTCTCTCTCTCTTTCTCTCTTTTTCTTTTTCATTCTTTTTCTTATTTTTGCCTCTTTCTTTCCTTTATTCTTTTTCTTTCTCTCTTCTTTTCATTTTCTTCCCCTTTTTTTTCTTCTTTTCATTTTCTTCTCCTTCTTTCTCTCTTCTTTTCATTTTCTTCTTTCTTTTTCTCTTCTTTTCTTTTTCTTCTCTATTTTTCTTTTCATTTTCTTCTCCCTTCTTTCTCCCTTTTTTTCTTCTTCCTTCTTTCTTTCTTTTTTCTTCTTCTCATTTTCTTCTTCCTTCTTTCTCTCTTTTTTCTTCTTTTCGTTTTCTTCTCCCTTTTTCTCTTCTTTTTATTTTCTTCCGCCTTTTTTCTTTTCATTTTCTTCTCCCTTCTTTCTTCCTTTTTTCTCCTTCTTCCTTTCTTCTTTCCTTCTCATTTTCTTGTCCCTTCTTTCTCTCTTCTTTTCTTTTTTCTCTCTTTTTCTCTTCTTTTCATTTTCTTCCCCCTTTTTTTCTCTTTTTCTTTCTTCTCTTTTTCTCTCTTCTTTTCGTTTTCTTGTCCCATTTTCTCTCTTTTTGTCTCTTTCCCTCCTTTTCTCTCTCTCCTTTTCACTTCTGCCATCAGGAAATGAAACAACTATGCGCCCGAGCAAAGAAACTCTCCGAAATTAAAGACGAAGAAAAAAAGGGAACATTTCGTATATATATATAGGGTTAGGATGAGGATTTTATTAAAATATGTTAAAACTGTAATTAAAATCGAAAAATCTCGTGAGAAGTTTTAAGAATCTTATATAGCTCAAAGTTGAGAGAAGATGATGGAATGAAGATACTGGCTAAAGAGAGAAAGAGAAAGAATTGAAATTGTCACAGAGGGTTCTCAAGTTTCTCCATACCATCCCTTTTATCATTGTCTCTCTCACTCTCTCTCTCTCTCTCACTCTCAGGATTTCTTATTTCACCAGAGATGGGAGAGGGGTCAGATGATCGACACGGGGCATCTCTGATTCTTAATTCTCGTGAGAGAGAAAACCTGCTCTCCGATTTTCTTCCCTGGCTCTTTTTAACTCTTTCTTTCCACTCTCGCGAGCTTTCAATTCATTCTGCCAAGGAATTGGAATTTAATGAAAATTGTTCACGGTTTTAATAAAGATAAGAATCGCAATTTTTATTTTTTTACTATTATTATTAATATTATTTTATTATTATTATTATTTTTATTATTAACATTACTTTGCTCTCTGAATTTGAATTCGTAAAAATGTTTACTTTTGCCTTTGAATTAGTAAATTTTGCTAATAAATAGTAATTTCTACTAAGTTAGTAAATTTTGCTAATAAATAGTAATTTCTACTAAGTTAGTAAAATTTGCTAATAAATAGTAATTTCTGTTAATTTCTTAGTAAAATTTGCTAATAAATGGTAATTTCTCCTAATTTATTAGTAAAATTTGCTAATAGTATTAATAGGAATTTCTACTAATTTATTACTAAAATTTACTGATTCAAAAGCAAAAAGTCAGCTACTGATTCAAATTACCAAAACATTTTCCCTATTTCAAATTTAGAGAGCAAGTTGATAAAACTGTTATGCAAGAGAGGAGGAACTTGAAAATTTGCGCGGACAGTTTGCCCGCTTGTCTTTCATCTCCGCATTTACAAATTTCACTCTCATTTGCGGCCTTTGGCACTTTAACGAGTGTCAATATTTGTTTTTCGCAATTTTATTCCCGTATACATAAATTTATATACTTTTAACCCTATCACTCTCCCTAGTGGTTCAAGTTGGACCAAGGACTTTTACGATGATTAACAAAAGTTGAAGAGATGAATTGTCAAACTTTCTGTGCGACATTATATAAGAGAAAAAAGAAATGCAAAATTCATATTTTTTTCCAAATGAGTATTGGAGGACAAAGGACATTAGTTAGATTTCGTGCCTGCGTTTATATATATATTAAAGCAGAGGAGGAACAATTTCATTAATCAAAATTCTTTATCTTGAGAGAGAAGGCGGAAAATTGCGTCGTGAGAGGAATTTTTTTTGCAACGA